AAGGCGCAGCCCAAGAAGATGTGCACAAACATGGGGGAAGCCTGGGACCCTGGGGGCCCGACCTCAGCAGCCGGGGCCTCTTCCTCCTCCCCCTCCTCCTCCTCCTCCTCCTCCTCCCTCCCTCCTCCTCCTCCTCCTCCCTCTCCTCCTCCCCCTCCCCCTCCTCCCCCCTCCTCCTCCTCCTCCTTCCCTCCTCCTCCTCCTCCTGCTCCTCCTCCTCCTCCTCCTCCTTCTCCTCCCTCCTCCCTCCTCCTCCTCCTCCCGCTCGCGGTGGGCGGCTGCCTGGCTTCGGGGCCCCCTCCTCGCCGCCCTCGCCCAGCCCAGGCCCGCTCCACGTCGGCCCCTGGACCGCCTCCGGGGGCCCGCCCTCGGCGGCCCTCCGGGCTGCGCCTGGCTTTGAGTCGGGCACGTCCAGCCATCTGCACGAACGGAAGGGGTACGAAAAGAAGGCGTACAATGCCCAACAGTAGTTCCTGCTCATTTTGAACAGGACTCGCTGTCCACGCCGCCGCGGCCTGTGTCCATTCGAGACAGAAGGCCGCCTGCCCAACAGCGGCCGCTGCTGGTTTGGGACGACATTTGTCTTTAGGCATTGTGCCCATGTTTTCCGTACCCATCTCGGGCGTCCGAGATCTACAGGCGGAAGATCCAAAAACAGTCCAGCAATCTAGCATGGGGGCGATGTTCTGTTATTTTTGACACTGGGACCCTGTTCCATGTTTCGTCCCAAGTCCGCCTGTAGGCGGAAAATCCAAAAATGGTCCAGCAATCTAGCATGGGGGCGATTTTCTTTTACTTTTGACACACTGACCCTATTCCATTTTCGTCCCAAGTCCGCCAGTAGGCGGAAGATCCAAAAATAGTCCAGCAATCTAGCATGGGGGCGATTTTCTCTTACTTTTGACACTGGGACCCTATTCCATGTTTCGTCCCAAGTCCCCCCGTAGGGGGACCTGCCCGACCTAACCCTGGACCGCTTCCGTGACCCGACCTCCGCAGCCCTGCGAGCTGCGCCTCCTGCCGCGGCGGCGGGAGCCCCCGGAAGCCCTCCCCTAAAGCCTGCGAGACAGCGCCGCCGTCGACGACGACGCCTACGGCGAATCACCGCCGCCCCGGCAACGATGACGTCGACGACGACGCCTACGACGCCTTTTGGAGCGACGACGCCTACGACGACGACGCCTACGACGACGACAGCGCCTCGACGACAACGCCCACGACGCCTTTTGGAAGCGCCTGTGTGGTCCACCACTGTTGCGGCCAGCGTTCGGCCAAGCTATCGGACGGGGTGTTCCCCCAGCCGTCGTGGAAGCCATTGGAGGATCACGCGAGCGAGAATTGAGAAGAGGAGGACAGGGAGGATAATGGAGGAGGAGACTCTTGGGAGCCTCTTGGATCACTCCTGGGGCCTAGGAGCTTGCTGTGGCCCCACGTTCAAAAATTGCCCCCATGACCTCGCCTGGTAAGACGAAGCCAGGACGAGGATACATTCGGATGAGGACAAATCGAGGATCTCGGAGATCCGGCGGCTCTGGAGGACGTCTCGGGCGCCGCGGCTTTCTCAGAGCGTTCCGGACCGCTCCGAGGGCGTTCTGGAACGCTCTGGGGCGGATTTGTCCGCGTCGTGGCCCCGTCCGACCGAGGGAGGAGGGAGGAGGGAGGAGGGAGGAGGGAGGAGGGAGGAGGGAGGAAGGAGGAGGGAGGAGGAGGAGAAGGGGAGGAGGAGGAGGAGGAGGAGGAGGAGCGCACTCCGACAGTGGCTTCGAGGCGAGTCCAGCCGCGGCGCCCCGTAGCCTGCCAGAGTCCCGAGGCCGGCTCCCCAAACTGCCGAGGGCGTCGAAGCTCTACCTTCGCTGGCGGCGACGACGACGCCGACGAAGACGACGACGACGACGCCGACGACGTGGACGCCGACGCCCCCCGAAGGCGTCCGCGCTGGTGGCCCAGAGGCTCGAGTGGGCGGGCATGGTCGGCGCCGACCGCGAGGGCGGGCTCGCCGCCGCGCTGCTGGACCGCCCCGCGCGGGCCGCCGCCGCCGCCCGCAGGCGGCCGCCGCCGGCGGCGGCAGCGGGGCGACCAGCAGCGGCGGCCAGGGCGGCGACGAGCGGCGGGCGGCGGGCGTCGGGCGGCGGCGAGCGGTGGCTGCCGGCATCGTCGCCGTCGGCGCTCGCCGCCGCGGTCGGCGGCCCTCGGCGCCCCCCCGCGGCCCTCGCGGCGGCCCCGGGCGAGCGGTGGCGGAGAGGGGCGGCCGCATCGCCGGCGTCGCCAGCGTTGTCGCCTTCGCCGCGGTCGCCTGTCGCCGACGCCGTCTCGGAGTTGTTTTGAGTGCTCAGTGGGTTCGTTGCTCCTCTTCTTCCGCCCCCTCTCCCCACCTCCAACCGCAGTCCCTCCTCCTTCTCCCCCCCTCTCTGCCAGGAGCTTCCGGAAATACAGCCAGGCCACCGCAGACTTCAGAAGACGTTCGAATGCCTTCGATAGCCCCCCCCTTCCCGCCCCTTCCACTCTTCCCGATTTGCTGCTCCCTCCTCCCCCCCATCCCCTCCCCCCCCCTCTGGCCCCCTGGGCCCACCAGAACTCCCGAAAGCCCCGAGAACCCTCCAAGACCCCGTAGACTCCCCAGAACCTCCAAAAGCGTCCCCCTCCTCCCTCCTCCCCTCTCCCTCTTCCTCGTCCCCCATTCCCCCCCCTTCCTCCTCTTTCCCCGCATCCATCTTCCTCCCTTAATCCCCCTCGCTTCCTCATCGTCATCGTACTTCCCTCATGGTCCGTATCCTCGTTGGCCTCCTCGTCATCCTTGTCATTGTCATCGTCGCCTTGCCCTCGCCGTCGTACTCGTCGTCGTTCTCGTCGGCCCGTCGTTGTCGTCGTCGTCGTCGTACTCGTCGTCCTCGTCGTCCTCGTCGTCGTTGTCCTCGTCGCAGTCCTCGGCCTCGGCGTCCTTGTCGTCCTCGTCGTCGTCCTCCTCCTCCTCGTCCTCGTCGCCCTCGTCGACCGCGCCCTTCTCCTCGCCCACGTCGTCCTCGTTGAGGAGCTCCGCTACGCGACGCTGTGGGCCGAGACCGTGGTCGGCGCCTCCGCCGCCAAGGGCGCCGCCCTGGCCAAGGCCAGTAGGTTATTCGCATGGTAGTATGGCGGTTGTCGGATGGCCTAGTTTCTTTGAGAGCATGCTTGTACCTTGGCATCGCTCGAACGTGTGCATGCCTTCCCGGCGAGGACCATCGAGGAGCATCTTGGATCATCGAGAAAACACGCACGAAACCGAGACATACACGGGGAATGGACGTCCGAGCGATGGCGAGGTACAGGCGCAATTCGCTGCCGCGCAGCCCGCCGTGGCTGCGGACCGCGACGAGCCTCTCTGTGCTTCACGGCGCTTCTTCCGATGTTTTGCTGTGCTCCAGTGTTCGCACTGGCTGGCCGCCCTGGCTGCTCCGCGGCGACGCCCGCCATGTGAGCGCCTCCCCCTCCCCTCCTCCCGCCCCGCGGCCGCTTCCGCCTGTCTTTTCCTCCTCCTGCCGCCGGTTAATCCGCGTTGCCCGTTGCCCGGACCGCCTGAGCGCGCGTGCGGACGGCTTCTGCCGTGCTGCGACGTAAGAAGTGTTCGCTCGTTAGTTCCACCCGCAATGTGAGTTGTGTTGTTTTGTGTGTGTGTGTGTGCAATGGTTTCGGTCGTGTTTTTTGTTTCACCAGAAGGTGTCACTTGAATCAGCACTGCTTCCCGCTGGATATGTGTGGTGGTTTGCAGTGTTCCTTCGTTGTGGTGTGATATGTGTTTTGGCCCAGAAGCCATGTATGTATGTATGTGCATACATCTGTATGTATAGATATATATGTGTATATATATACATGTACATATACATATATATATATATATATATATATATATATATATATGCACATACAACCGCCAATCGTTACCGATTTTTTCCGATGCTTCTGGGTGTTGTTGTTGTTGATGTACTACATCATCCCAGGGTTCGGTGGTGCCAGGTCGAACGGTGGTGCCAGGAAAGAGCAGCAACATGTTTTATATGTCGGCACCCTGGGGCCCTTTTTTCGGACCCCGTGTGCAGTACTGAAGCACTCCCCCCCGAAAGGATTCGGATATGCTTACCACACGTTTGGAACGATAGTTGTATCGGATCGGGTTCGTTTGACGTTACCGCAACCGTTCTGGCTCTAGTGCTCTGATGTGACAAGAGATCCTCTCGAGGCCCTGCGGGGTCCAGTATCGATCATGTGATACTCGCGCGCTTCCGCGGATGGTAGCGGAGCGTACCCGCGGATACCCGCGGCAGGATCACCTTCCGTGTCCTGGTGATCCTCGGTCACGCTGCCGTGGCGGGAGCCGCGGCGATGGAGGCCCTCGCGGAGCGCGTGCCTCTCATGGAGGGCGAGGTGACACGGCACCGCGAGGTGCTCGCGGAGAACGAGAATTTGCGGCGGAGAGTGGACGCCGCGGAGCAGCGCCTGGCAATGGGCGAGCAGCGCGCTGGAGAGCGCGACGGCGGCGCAGCCGCAGCAGCAGCACCAGGTCCGAGCAGCGGACAGGTCGTGGACACGAGAATGCTGAACAAGCCGCGGACGTTCATGGGCTTGCATTCGGAGTGGAAGATATGGTCGTTCGACTTCGAGGCCTACGTGTTCGCGGCCCACCCCCGACTGGGGGACTTGCTCAACCAGGTGTCGAGAACGGCGGATGTGCTGACGGCGCAGACCGAGCTGGACGCCACACTCAACACACAGTTGTGCTACATCCTGGTCTCGGTGACGTCGGATGTGGCCAAGGTCGAGGTCAGGAAAGCCCCGCGAGGAGACGGGCTCGCTGCGTGGTGGCACCTGCTTCGAGAGTTCGCGCCGAAGGAGGCGAACAGGTTCGCGGCCATGCTCGGTCGGATCATCCGATACGAGTTTGCGGACACCGTGATGACGAACTGGCGGAATTTGAGCAGCTCGTCAGGGAGTACACGGACCAGAGCGGCGAAGTGATTTCGGACAACATGAAGCGGGGTGTGATCATGTCGGGCATCGAGAACGAGAAGCTGGCGGACCACCTCAGCTTGAATGTTTCGCGCTTGGTCACGTACGACGACCTGAAGACGGAGCTGAAGACGATCTGCTCATCGCGGCGACGTTGGGCAGCAGTGGGCTCTGGAGGCGACGGCGTAGTCCCGATGCAGGTCGGCGCAACCGGTAAAGGCAAGGGCAAAGACGGCAAGGGCAAAGGCAAGGACGGCAAAGGGAAGAAAGGCGACTCCAAGGGGAAGAAGGGCGACCCCAAAGGCAAGGACCGAGAGACCCGCAGTTGCCACTATTGCGGCAAGGCTGGCCACCTCGCAGCCGACTGCCGCAGGAAGAAGGCGGGCGAGAAGAAGGGCAGGAAGTTCGCATTGCTGACGGACGCGACCCAGGTGCAGCCTTCCGCCTCGACGGCATCGACGGCGCTGAAGGGGGGCAGCACTGGCTCGCATAGCAGTTTGGCCCCCACGATCGACGTGTCTCACGCGGCAGCAGTCCCAGCCCAGACGCAGTTGCAACAGCAGCGGAGTCCACCTTCGACGAGCGCTACCGTTCACATCGCGAACATCCAGGTGGCAGGCGACGCTGACATCCCGACGCCCGAGGAGTACTATTGGCAGGTCGGCATGATGTACGCCACGACGCAGTGCGATGCGCTGCCAGTGACGGTCGGCGACTCGGTGCAGTTCGACTGGGCGCTCTGTGATACAAGCTCAGGGCTCACCACCTGCCCGCAGGAGTTCGCGAACATGACCGAGATGCTTCCGCCCCAGAAGCCGCCGCTTTGCGAGTCGGCGACTTGCGACGAGGTTATGTCCATGGGCACGAGGGCCGCGGCAGCCGAGAGCGACGGAGCACCTCTCCAGATCGAATTCCAGGTCACGAACGTGAAGCGCGCCATCGTGGGTGCCGACGCCTTCACGGAGGGGGGCCATGTCCCGATCCCCGGCAAGGACCCCTACATCCTGCTCGCGGACGGCCGCGAGATCAAGCTGTACAGGAGCGAGAGGACGTTCTGGCTCAGGATCAGGAGGCCCGTCGAGAACGTCGCCGAGCCGATGCCCGTCAACCCCGCGCGGCCGAACACTGAGGCCCGAGCGGTTCCGCGCGAAGCACCTGCTGAGGAGGGGGGTGCAGAGCCTGAGGCCGACGCCGATCCACCGGCACCGCCACCTCCACCGGCGCCGCCAGCTGCCGGCGATGGCCAGGATCAACCAGACCAGAAAGGATATCATCGTGAGGGTGTTCGACGACAGCGAGAAGACGGAGCGCTACTGCGGGTTTCTGGAGAAGCCGCGGCGGCTAAGGCGAGAGGGATCCCAGTGATGCCAGATAGAGCGGTTCGAGACCAGCATCGTCTCACGCGCTGGCCTTTCCGCACGTGGTGTTTGCTCTGCATGGTGGGCCGTGGTCAGGAGGGCCCTCACACGCGTTTAGCGGGCCCTGGCCGCCTGATCCCGCTGGTCTGCATCGACTACTTGTTCCTCGGAGACATCGAAGGCGACCCCCTCGCGGTACTGAACATCCTGGAGTACCAGTCGGGCGCGATCGGGCGCGCGCAGATCACCGTGAATGGGGCTTGCGGATTATGCCGTAGCAGTGGCGACGGCGGCGATGCGCATGTGGGGCCTCGACCGCGTTCTTCTTGGAGCTGGTGGAGAACCCGCTATCCAAGCCTTGGTCCGAGCCGCGCAGCTGGCTCGAGAGGAAGAGGCAGTGCCTCACAGCGGACCTAGGCGAGATCCCAAGAGCAAGGGGGCGATCGAGAACGCCGACATAATGGTCGAAGGCATGTTCCGCACACTGAGGGCATCGATCGAGTCGAGGTACAGCACCTAGCTCACCTTGAACCACTGGATCATGGACTGGATGATTCGGCATGCAGGATGGCTCCTGTCAAGGTACTCGGTGAAGGAGGATGGCCTCGCGCCCTACCAGCACCTGAAGGGCCGCGCGCACGGAGGAGCGATCTGCGAGTTCGGCGAGACGGTGATGTATAAGATCCAGAACGCGGCCCACCACAAGGCGGAGATACGCTGGGGCAAGGCAGTCTGGGTCGGGAAGGACCGCGCGGACGAGCACCTCCTGGCGACCGCTGCTGGTCGGAAGACGGCGAGGACGATCGACGGGCGAGTTGAGGACCAGCGATGGTCCAAGAGCCTATTCAACAAGGTCGAGTGCACGCCGTGGGACACTCGCGCAGGACCCGAGGCAGCACCGCCTCCCCCGCGCCGCCGCTACATCACGAGGGCCATCATCGATCGGTTTGGACCGACACCTGTTTGCGACGACTGCTACGGGCTTGGCCACCCACGCACCGAGTCCTGCAGAGATCGGACCGAGAGCCTGCCGAAGGCCAAGGAGGATAAGGACAAGCAGGAGGCGGCAGTTCGAGCAGCCGTCTCCGCGGCAGCTGCAGCACCCCCAGGAGGGGGAGATCTGCCTGCTCAGCTTGCACCCGCCGACGAGCAACCTGCACCAGCAGCATCGGCTCCAGCGCCACCTGCTCCCCTACATGGCCCAGGGGCAGGTCAGGGCGGGCGACCTCGCAGGCGTCGGCTTGAGGCAGATGTTCCTCCGGATCCGACGCAGGAGGAACCTCCAGCGCAGGAGCAGCAGGACGGGATGGAGCTCGGGATGGTCGAGATGGGCTGGAACGGGACCGTGGTGACGGAGAAGCCGAGGAGGAAGCAGAAGGTGATCGCGGGCCCGTTCGTCAACGTAGCGACCGCGGTGCTGGCACTGACATGCGACGCCATTCCTTACGACAGCGAAACGGACACCAACAAGCACAGCCTCTACGACAGGGGGTCGACCTACCAGAACGTGCTCGGGGCTAGGTCAGGCAGGCAGGCAGGAGGCTGGGCCCTTCCTTGCTGAAGCAGGGCAGGGAGAAAGATCACATGCAGATGGAGGAGTTCCAGGTCTGCGACCGCGTGCCTAAGAACTTCGCGAAGGGCAAGCGCGTCCGCGGGAAGGGTGTCGACGATGAGCGCTACGACGACGACGGCAGGGTGTCGGTCAGGTCGCGCTTCGTGGCCATGCAGTTCGCCTGGGGCGCGCGGGGCGACACTTTCGCAGGCGCGCCACCGCTGGCCGCGTTCTGGCTGGTGGTCTCCTTCGCATCAAGTCTCTTCTCCACGGGGGTCGGCTACGACGGCGTGCTCGCTCTCTACGACGTGTCGGCGGCGTTCTTCCACGCGTATATCGACGAGGACATCTACGCGGTGCCGCCCAGGGGAGAGGAGCCCGAAGGCATCGTGTACCAACTGAAGAGGGCACCATGCGGCACAAGGAGGGCCTCGTTCTTGTTTCAGAACCTGAGCATGGAGGTCACATGAGGTCATGGAGGAAGGAGGCGTTGTCCGCATCAGGGCGACGGTTCAAGTCTACTACCACAAGGAGCGCCTGCTGATGGTGATTGTTCATGGTGACGGCTTCCTGGCTGGAGGAAGGGGGGGCGCGCTCGATTGGCTGGACGAGTTGGCGAGAGGTCACTCCAAGGTCAAGGTGATGCCCAGGGCCGGGAGCCCGAGGCAAGGATGACTCGAGTCAGGCAGTTTCCTCAAGCGCACAGTGGCGTGGTGCCCCGAAGATTTCGGCATCATGCACGATCGCAAGCATGTGGAGATCCTGGTCAGCACCATGCTCAGCAGGAAGATCGGCGAGAGCAACACCACCAAGCGCACGATCACCCCGTCTTCCAAGACAATCGGAAAGGACTGCAGAGAGTCATCCGACGAGCTCAGCACGGAGTACGCGACCACCTGCCGCAGCATGGCGCCTACCGCTTTCAAAGTCGCACACGACCGCTTCGACATCCAGCAGGCCGTCGGCTACCCCATGAGGGGCATGGTGGCACCGACGTGGCACTTTTGGCTACTGCTTCAACGCTTGGCCAGCTACCTGGAGCAGCGCCCGCAGTTCGAGGGTTCTTCTTCGAGTTCCAGAGGATACCGAAGGTTCTCGTGGTGGAGGTCGACAGCGACTGGGCATCAGAGCCTGGTCGGAGCTCCGTGGACGGTGGCTTCCTGTTCATCGGTTCACACCTGATCGACGGCTGGAGCGGCCAGCAGTACAACCACGCCCTGAGCAGCGCCGAGGCGGAGTTCACGGGCATCGTGAACGGATCGGCGAGGGGCACCTGGCTCCGCAACGTGATGTTGGAGATGGGCTTCGAGGTGACGCTGCAGGTCAACACGGGCAGCTCTGGGGCCAAGGGCATCGCATCGCGCCTCGGATGCGGCAAGGTGCGCCACCTGGAGACGAAGTACCTCTGGGTGCAGGAGAAGGCCAAGGATCGGACCATCACGATGGCGAAGATCCACGCTGATGTCAACGGGGCCGACATGCAGACAAAGCCGATGACGGGGCCGAGACTCCTGAAGCTGCTGGCGTTCCTTCCACTTCGGACACCGTCCTCAGGGCGCACGCAGGCGTTCGGAGTCACGCTGGCGGCCACCATTCTCGGTGGAGTTCAGGGCTCGGCAGTCATCCCATACAACTAGGCGGTGATGGTGGTGAGCAGTTCGACCGTGGCGGAGCGGATCTGGACGACGATGCTCACGGCGATGTTCGGCTCGACGTTGGCGATCGCACTCCTGGCGACGTGGATCGTGCACCGCATATACAAGGCGCCGTTACGGTTCCTGAAGGGCTTGTGGGAACTCGTGAAGGCCGGCGAGGACGAGATCGGACTGGTGGCGCGTCCACCGGCTGAGGAGGAGCATGAGCAGCCAACCGACAGGCTGGAGATCTAGGACTGCTGGCGGCCAAGCCAACACACGCAGACGGTGCCCGTGCCGCACTATTGGACGTGGAGCGCAGTGGACCTCAGAGCGGAGTGTGAGCGCCTGAGGATCTACCACGGTCAGATCACGGCGCAGATGATCGTGGACCTGCTCATCGGAGCAGGGCGCAAGTGAATGATTATTCTGGTGCGGTGGCACCGCCTTTTCACGTTTACGACGCAGCTGCAAGAGCTGGCGTCGCCTGTTTGCTTTTCCCTCTCGCACGAGCACGAGGGCGCGAGAGGATGAAACCCAACGTCGTGGCGCTGGCCCTCGGGGGGAGAAACGAGATAGGCCCGCGGGCGAAGGTACCAGATCTTGTTTGAGCTAGGATGACCCAGGACGGTTTCTGTTCAGTTGATGCGCCCCAGGCTACGCCCATGGCCCAAGGAGGAGTGCAGTACAGAAACACTCCCCCCCGAAAGGTTCCGGATATGCTTTGCACACGTTTGGAACGATAGTTGTTTCGGATCGGGTTTAAGTCTCGACTGGTGTTTCAGCGTTTGACGTTACTGCAACCGTTCTGACTCTAGCGCCGTGAGGTGAAAAAAGACCCTCTCGAGGCCCTGTGGGGCCCATTATCGGTCATGTGATACTAGCGCGATTCCGCGGACCGTGGTGCACAAAAGGCGGCCCGCGACGAAACATTGTCACAGGGATCGAGGGGGCATCTAAAAGTGTTCGAGGATGCCCCAGAGCCCCAGACGACGTCTCCAGACCCCCGAAATTCTGCGTCAGCTGGGCAACCCCAGTGGCGCGAAGAGTGACCAGCCCTTCACGGCCCTGGCCGAAAATCTGCTTTTCTTCGGAAGGAGAGGGCGGGGGGGGACGGGGCGACGCGGGGGGCACGAGGCGAGCCACGTATCGCGGGGCGCGTTGCGCGAAGTTGGGCGGCTTTTCGGGAACGTGTGGGCGAGCGTGTGAAGGCCTGCCGAGCCTCGCAGGCGCGGGAGGAGCTCGAGGGGGTCCAGGGGTTGCTGGGCCGGTTCGGCGAGCAGTCCCAGCAGGAAGCGACGTCCACGCAGGCGCCCGCAGGGGCTCGCGCATTCGTCGGTACCAGCGCCGCCCCTTCGTCGCCGTGGTCGTCGCCGTCGTAGTCGTCGTCGTCCTCGTCCTCGTCCTCGTCCTCGTCCTCGTCTTCGTCGTCGTCCTCGTCGTCGTCGTCGTTGTCGTCGCCGCAGCTGTTGTCGTCGTCGTCGCAGTCGTCGCCATCGTCGTCTCGTCGCAGTCGTCGTAGTTGTCGTCGTCGTCGTCGTCGTCGTCGTCGTCGTCGTCGTCGTCGTCGTCGTCGTCGTTGTCGTTTCGTCGTCGTTGCGTCTTCGTCGTCGTCGTTGTCATTGGTGCCGACCTCCCGTCTGGCGTGCGGCATGTCTGTGCAGACTGGGCATGGCGGCGGCGCTGGCCCAGACTTCGGGCGCCCTGAAAAAAAAACGCACGACGTTTTTGTTTGGAGTTTGGGGCATCGAAGCTCGAGGACCTGGGGCTTCGGGCGCTTCTGGGCCGCCCGGGGGCCTTCGGGGGCAGCCGCGCGTCCACTGCTGGAGCTTCCCTTCTTGGGCCAGGGTGGGCCATTGCTCGTCCAGTTGGGCCAGGATGGGCCCTTCTTGGTCGTCCATTGCTCGTCCATTGATGGGCCCTTCTTTGGCCACGCGTCCATAGATCGTCCATTTGGGCCAGGGTGGGCCCTGGGGACGTCGTGGGGCCGACTTCGACTTCGAGCGGACTCTGCCAGAAACCTCCAGCGCACTGCAGTGAAAGATCACGGCGGCCTGGCTTGCTCGTTTCCGGGCACCTGGAGAATCGCATCGGGCCCCAGGCGCGACAGAACAACTGCCTGGTGATGGTGTCGTGATGTTTGGGGGCCCACGTCTTGAACAGGTCACGGCGTGGGAGGTCTCCGCCGTTGTGGCGGGCGTTCAAGGCTGAAGGTCTCCGACCGCCTTTGCGGACCACCCATGGCGGATAGGGCTCCAGATCGAGCAGTTCGCGCGGTGTCACAAGACAGAGCTCTCGCTCTGATGGCAGGAAATTGCCGTCATGTAGTGTTGCCTCAGTTCTTCTCTCACCCGGTAGTGCAATGACGCGCGAGTTCCTTGGCAAATCGGCGTATCGCTTCCACAGGGTCGACGAAGTTCAGGGGGGGGCCAAAGGAACGCTCAACAAGATGATGTGTCTTCTCGCATGGGATTCGGTATCATTAGCCTTGCGGGCAACGCTTCCGCGGGGGCGATCTCGTGTTGGGGCCACCCAGCCGAGTAGTTCATCTGGCGAGGCCATTCCTGTCGACCGGGTATCAATGGCGCCCCGAGAAGGAAGATGTTTGAGTGGATATGGGCCCGATCCCTCCACTCCTCTCCTCTCCTACCTCCTCCTCCTCCTCCTCATCCTTCCACCTCCCACTTCCCCCCTCATCTTTTACTTCCTCCTTCCATCCGTCCTTCCACTCCTCCTTCCTTTCTGTACACATCCTGATGTATGTGCTGTGCTAGGTCAGGCATGAATTTGCTAGGTGCGCCGAGTGTGTTCGCAGCGGCAGCCCCCTCCTGCACCACGGCAGTGCCGCATTGTAGGAGACTAAACGCGTCGTGGAGCAGATGTTCCATGATAGCTCAAGGCGGCAGCCGCCCGTCGAACTCGCAGAGGCTGCTTTGCATGCAAGTACAGCTATTGCAACCCACACGTGCACACACCTATGTATGTATATCTATATGCATGTAAACATAATAATATTAATACGAATACTAATACGTATAATAAAAAAATATTAATACTACTAATAGTACGAATAATAATAGTAATAGTGATAACCGTACGAACAAAAACAATAGTAATACTAATAATGATAATAATGGTAACAATAATAAGAAGAATAAAGCATACACATCTATATGTATATATATGTGTGTATGCTTGTATATACACATATTTATAATACACACGCACCTGCAGCCATCTTGGCTCAAACCATGTTGGTTTAAGTTGGAAGCCATAGCCCTGCACTTCCAGCTTGAGCGCTGCCGAAGGGCAGGCCCAAAGCTCCCACCCACACGATCCCCCTGGGAGCTCGCCCAAACGCCAGAGGTCACTATCCTGTTCTCGGCCAGCGTTGCCTTCTCGTTTCCGTCCTGCGGGACGCATGCTCGAGCAGAGAAATGGCAGGTCGCGTCGTAATACAGCTAGTGGTCGTGATCCTCGTGATGCTGGCTCCTCTGACCTCCTGCGAGGCTCGAAGCTCTCCAAGGTTGAGGGTCTGCTCATCGGTGACAATGATCCATCGCGTGCAACACCGCCCCCTTGCGAAGGAACCTCGCGTCAGCGCAGACACTTCCAAGATGTCCACGGGAATCCAGGAATCCACATCAACTGCGATTCGTGCAGCTGCGGCTCGGCAGGAAGTACATACCGAGCAGGTTGGCGGACACCTCAAGGACCTTGATCAACGCGTTCAACAGCTTCAGAAGAGCACAGAACGATGCGTGAAGCGTTGAGTGAGCTTGCCAAGACGGTGCGTATGTGCAAAGCCGCTGCTCATGTTGATTAAGTTGCGGATGCTGCTCAAGGGTCCCGCCCTGCTGACAAGACGGTTTTTGCCGCCAACCCGACGGAAAAACTACATCACAATATGCAGTGGTTGGCGGCGGTTGTTGTCGGTTGAGCGTCAGTCTCCTGGCTTTCGGTATTCAGCTCGCACGCATGGAGCTGAATGTCTGGCAGTTCGCAGGGCTACCAGTGCTTATCGCCATCTCAGGGGCAGTGCTGACAACTGGCACAAGTTCGAGGCGGACACACCCACAGACACAAAGTCAGCAGTGTTCGTTGGCCTGTACAAGAGCCCGCAGTCCACCAGGAGGAAAATGCAGACCAAGAAACTTCTCGACTTGCTCAAGGCCACCAGTATCCGTGACAGGTGAGAGCACACAGGCTTGCTGGAGTTATCTCGGACGGGAGCAGCCTTGCCATCAAAGTTAATGCTGGCGAAACCCAAAACGACCCTACGGTGCTCGAGTGGAAGTACTGTCGCGTTGTTAGCTCTGGCCTGGACAAGGATAGCACCAAACAAAGCTTCGACGATGCATATGGAGGAACTGGTAGAGTGCAGTGGTTTATTTAACACGAGGATGGCGCCGTATCGCGGTGCAGCTGAGCATGGCAACTCGGTATCGTTTGGAACACGGAACTCCCGAACTCTTCTCCACCAATATGTTGAAGTACGGCAGCGTCAGGCGTCTTTCCCCACAAATTTTCTTGCGCTGTGCATCTGCAGTGGCTCCCCAGGAGGTGCACGCCTCCGCGCCGACGTAGAGTTGGAGCAGACCTTGTACCGACGTAACATGCCCCTGACCATATGTTCCGTTTTCGGTGCGAGGCGCCGCGCTGGAGGCTGCGCCATCAGCTCGCCCGTTTGCGTCGCGGGCCTGAACGCTGCATCTTATCGCAATGAAGAGGAGGTCGCTTGTCGCGCACAAAGATTGCGCGTCGCTGGCGCCCCATTCCCTGCCCGGCTTGTTTACTCCAAGCCCAGTCTTACACAGCGCGCGCAATGTTGGCCTGGCGTCCAGCTGCGTGGAGATCATTGCTGAAAGGAAATCAAGGGATGTGGTGATAGCGTCGTTGGCTGCCACGATGGCAGCGGTAGTTCCCCCCGTCGACATCAGCGCACGCGGAGCCCCCCGTCTCTGCCCCCACGCCCTCGGATTTAG